CTTTTGAACGTTAACAAAGAGAAATCTGCGACACGCTAAAGAACAGAAATCAAAGAAAGTGAAAGAAAAGTCACCCCAACCGGAATTAAAAATTAGTTTCCTGTTGTTCGTAAGGACAATTGTAGGAAATAATTATTTTACTTTGTTTCTGCTGGAATAGTGCCAATTCTTTACTTAAATGATGATATTGGCGTACCTCCCTCTAGTTAAAGACTCCTCTAATTATTAAAGACCACCTTCAATAAAGGTCCCAAATTAACAAATGCCTTTAACCTTTATTATTCTAATTAGAGGTGAAAGCTACTGAAGACCACAGAAACCCCGTTTCCAAAAGTGGCCTTTAATTGGATGGAGACATATATATAACCGTATAAACCGTATATATAAACTGAAAGGGCAAAATACTTCAAACAATAGACCTTTCCGGAGTGTCAATCAAACTTAACAATTGACTAATCAGAACAACGCTAGGAATACGCGCGCGTCTCACAAACACACGTGTTGTCCCACAAACGCACGTGTTTGCGTATGTTGTAACACTGTCGTCTTGTGGGACCTTAGCAACAATATCCAATGGGCGGGGCTTAGCGGAAAGGTCCATTCCTCATGTTTGGATTCGATACGAATCAGTGAATGTCATTATAAATTTAATTAAAGCGTTGTATGTTACGTTATAAGTTAATGTATATATAGAATTTTAGATTCGTATGTCTTTTTATAACTACTGTATCAGGTATATCAGATCTATGTACTGTTGAAACAGTATATTAGAGTAAGACTTTAATACACATTAATGTATATATTGTATATACACTGTCATGTATGGAAAACCGTTTGTAAATATATTAGAACAAAGTAAATGAAGAGATCATTTAAAATAATGAACGTATAACGAAACACCAATACTTGGACCAATTCAATAATTATTCCCCTTATATTGTATAATTGTATATTGTTGCTAAGGTTCAACTAAGTGACAACTTAAACGTGCGTAAGCACGTGTTTGTGGGACATGTGCGTATTATTTGGCCATGTTTAGATTGTTCAGTTATTACTTTCGAAAGGTGCATTTTTTATAAATTTTACATTGACTGCCAGCGTAAATGTCTATGCAAAGAATAGAATTTTGACCAATCAGAACATCGCTAAGAACACGCGCACAACGTGTGTCCCACTAACGCATGTTAAAATACGTTTATGCAAGATGATTGGTAAATTATACTTCATGTTTATTAGCTCAAAACCGGCAATAAATCTACAGGCAATCAACCGGGTTCAGCAATGTTGCGAAATTAAATAAAATATTACATGAAGGTTAGCATGTCAAAAGTATTCTACTCCTGTGTCGTTGAGTATGGCTCAGCGTGATTAGGCTAGATTGCTCTTGTCTTCAGTCTAATCGAAGCATCTAGATATTATCGACATAGCAAAGTTAACGGTTCTTATCAGAAACATTTCCGCAAACACTGAAATAAAGTAGAATAAAAATATGAATATATATATATATATATATATATATAT